GGTGCGGGAATTTCTCGCTGCATTGAAGACCTGTTGGTGACCTTCTGCTGTTGTCTGTTCTATGGTCGGGTTGTTGTCTCTTTGACACATTCCCCATTTCCATTCTCAATTTTATCTATATTAAATAGTATAAAAATATATGTGCAAAGTGGCATAAGTCAACAAAGTGCATACTTGAATAATATAAAAAAATTCATAGTACAAAGGGACATTACTCTGGGATTTGTCAAAGGAATAACGAAACCATAATTATGTGCACATCTTCATGTTAGGATTTTACATTGTACAAAGTTTCATGAACAGCTGATGAGGCATGCAGAAAAAGATACCAGCCTTATAATTTGGTTCGCCATTAGACTTATCAGTGGCGTTTGAGTCAAAGCAGTTGGAACGTCATCAAATACGAAGTTTAAAAACCAAACATTCCGAAAAGTTGTGCCAAATATGGATAAGGCAATCTATGTTCGGGTAAAAAAAATCCTTAGTGGTTGAATAATTCAACATTTCATAAACAGTAAATTTACGTAAAATGAAATTATCCATGATATTTCACGTCGTTATAAAAGTGTTGACTACTGGGTAATTTATTAGCATATCTTTATGCTGGCATCATTCTTACAATGTACACAGTTTAATGAACATTTAATTAAACCTGCAGGAGGAGTTGAAGCAACAGAGTTCATGCTGAATAGTAATAGTATTTCTATGTTCAGTGGAAATAATCTCTGATATACTAAATGTATAAATGAAGAAAATATTCATTGTGCTGAAAAGTTGAACCATCATATTCTGTAATTGTAAACGTTTAGTTTAAATTGGACAAATGATTCAAAAGCATGCTCGGACAGACAGAGGGACTAACAGATTTCTATATACATATCCCTAAACTTTGTTTGTGGCGGAGGATAGTGTATAAAAATATAACGTTCTTATTTTTTCCTATTCTAAGCTAATGAATGAAATTGGGATATAGGAAAATTTTGCAATTTCCAGATAGATAAATATCAAGGGAGGACATGAATATGAGTAATAATATAAATATCGTATATCTAGGTATTTACAGGCACTACATAGGGATGAAAACAGCAGGGATGACATCAACTCTAAACGTCCTAAGATTAGGTTTGTTGATAAGGTATAAATGTCCTAATATGCATGTATCACCCCTCAGATGATTCCAAAATCGTAGCAAGTGCAAAAGACAGGATAAAAATAAGGAGATGTGGTATGATTGCCAATGAGACAACTATCCACCAAAGTTAAGATGAAGTGGATGTCAGCAATTATATGCAACCGTACGGTCTTCAACAATGAGAAAAACCCATACCGTATAGTCTGCTATAAAAGGGTCCGACATGAAAAATATGAAAAAATTCAATTGAGAAAACTAACGGCCTAGTTTATAACAAAACAATTTACAAAAAACAAATATGACAGACATGAACCAACGACAACCACTGAAGCATTAGAACGTCATCAAATACGAACACATGAGCATGGGAAACCAGTAATGGCGTAAAATGGACTAGAATGGATAAGTGGGTCTATGTTATAGTTTAAATGTCTCTGTTTAGTTGAGAAACTAAGATAATATAACTCCAATTGATGATGGTGCCCGTAATACTTATCAACTCATTCTTCCCCGTTACCTTGTTTGGGTAGTCTTTGAGTTACGCTATATCTCTCTGAAATTGTCATAATAAGAATAGAATAAGGATTATCCATCAAATAAGATATGCCATGGGTGTCATATGGTATGTAATATTATTCAATAATGTAAAGTTTGAGACTAGGAAACAGAAATGATCGCATATAGCATAGATCCTAGTTTTGAGTTATCTTTCAATGTCAATTTCATGATAAGATGTGGGTATATAGCAGACCTTCTTGCTTTGATAGTATCCTTAATTACTTTTTCAATGTAATAGATGATATGGAGGTACATTTTGTAGTCACTGGAAAATTGCCATTTACAAGTAAAGTGAAGGGCATCATAAACTTAAAGGAAAGATCGATAATCACACGAAATATGAAACATTGCAAATAAACAAGGACAGGTTAATAAAAAAGTGGTCTAGGATCTATGTTTACTCTTTAACTAAAGTATTACAAATCATTGTGTTATCATTTTATCAGACTTTTTACATTAAATTTTGGAAAAACACTGAATCATGAGTTTAATCATTGAGGCACAATTTTAATTCTCAGTCATATCAAGAATAGGAACTTACTAGTGTTCTGATTACCGTTACGAAACTCATTGTCAGTTTTATTTCAGTAACAAATGCTTCTTTTTTTGATTTTATTGTGTTGTTAAAGCATTGACCAAAGCACATTTTGTATGAAGCGCGGAAGCGCATTACATCAAAAAATGTGCGCACGATCAACGCTTTTACAACCCTATAACATTATAAAAAGAAGCATTCAATTCTTATAATTACATTTTAATGCTACAACCATGAAATTAAGAGTTATATCAAGCTTTCCGTTAGTTTTCTATGCATTCTTTATAGTTGTATTTTATATGGAAATAAAATTATTTGATATGCCTCGAGTATTGAGTGCCTCGCGATTGTTGTAAGCCAACCAAAAAAAAGAAATGGTTCGACTTTAGTATATAGCCGTTCAGTTTAAATTATTTGTATATCGATTAGTAACAACATTAAGTTTCCTATTTTATTCGCACATTTAAATTTGTTTAGCAAATGAAATAATATTCAGCATTAATGTTTGATAAATGTTTATGTCAAAGAGATGTTTACCACTAGGCCCACATCCTTGGATTAGTTTCAATGGTTAAAATAAACATCACAGGCATCTAACACCTGAAGGTATAAAACCTCTGTGCATGAAAACATTCTGAGTCTAGGTGTGTAATATACGAAGACATTTTGCTAAAAATTCTCTATTCCGGGATAGCTAAATGTATGCATTCAGTAACTAATCCTTCCTATTTACTGTTTCCTATTTACGTGTTTTGTGGATGGAACTATGTATTAATCGTTCTTTTTATTACATATAATGGGCATTGTATATTGCATCCTTTATTTTGAGGACAGGGTATTATTGTATCGTATATTTTCTGGTTATGGTATATTTTTGTTGAAGACATGCAACACCCAGAATAAGAGGGATATCGGTCCTGGCAAAAAAGTGACTGAAACCAAGAATTGTTTTACATTTGTCATTTCGGGGCCTTTTATAGTTAACTATGCGGTATGGGTTATGCTCATTTTCGAGGGCGGTGTGGTGACCTATTATAATAGTTGTTTACTTCTATGTCATTTGGTCTCTGGTGGAGAGTTGTCTCATTGTCAATCATACATCTTCTTAGTTTTATAGTCATAGACAATGAATAAACTCCCATTCTACCTTTCTCGTGAAACGCAAAATTCGAATACTAGTATAATCTAAAAAGTGTCAAAAATATATAATCAACCCCTCCCTTTTAAAAAACAAAACACACACCCCTCCTTAGGACAATACCTTGAAATGATTTGGCCAACTGACTGATATATGATAATTTAGTTTCGCGAGTTTCTTTTCCGGTGGAGAAAATTAACTTATAACATATTTTTTTGTTTAAATAATCCGTTTATAAATTAAGAAATTATTAAGAAATTAAAGTTCCAACTCCGTCACGCAACATTAAACATAGATTAATTTGGTTATTACTTAGGTTCCGTTAGATTGAATGTGTAGAATAACCGTAAAATAGTACCACGTTTTGTTGTCTAAATCAGTGAATTTAGAGTGATGTATGAAAATACACGAAAAGTTACGATTTTGAGGCACGAGGCGTTGTAAAGCTCACTGGTAACAATATCGTGCGCAATGTCGACGATTAATTCTAATTTGTCCTTTTGTCACTTTTAAATTCTACATATCGAGATCTTACCCATTTCTACAGGATTTCCGGAAATCGCAATATAACCTAAAAATATGCATTTTCATGGCACCTAGCGTGCATTTTAAGCAATTTCATTTCACCAATTTTAATTGATTGACTCTCTGATAGTAAAAATTCTAGATTTTTATTTTATTCAATACTCAAGATGCAGCCCAACGAGTTCAAATTGACTACAAGATTTTATAAAATTCGATTTAAATAATTGAGCACTTTTAATAAAAAAATAGTATATTTTACATTGTAATGTTATAATATTCAGTTTATTCCTGTCAATGTCAACTCACTTCAGTAGAACCACGATTCCAATCTGTAAAACCCTTTACTTTTGGACGACGGCATACTATTAAGGTAAACTAAAACTAATCAAAAGTCAGTGCTTCTGTACTGTGACATGATTTTTAACGTACTTTTCTAAACAAGAACAATACCGGGTCTGGACCTGCGTCGCTGAATGCATGCAATTGATTTAAGTGATATATATACAGGAGCATACATTATTATTCCCAGACCAAATATTGAAATCATTCACTTAAATAGGAGCCAAGAAAACTTTGACGAAAATTTTGCTTGTACAATGAGTGTTGTAAAATTTCAAACTATCAGCAAACAGGAAGCAGTTGCACGGCAGATGTAAAAATTATTTACTCGCTACAATTCAACTTTATCAACCTGCAGACCAAATATTAAATTATTCCCTTTCATAGAAGTCATGAAAACTTTGGCGAAAATTCTTTCGGACGGACGGACGGACGGAGTCGAGCGGTTATTCGACCTGCTTCCGCCTTTGGCGACTCAGGTAAATAAATTCCCCGTTAATAAATTTAGAAATTATAAAGAAACTATGGTTCAAACTCTCTACGGCAAAATTTGCTTTTGATGAATTTGGCTATAATTTAGGCCCTTTTTGGTCACAAAGCTTCTAACGCTTCTACTAATTTTTACATCCCTGAATTTCAAATTTTGGGGTTTGAGCGTTACTCATGACGGTATATCAAGAAAAGCGCTCCACACGCACGAAATTATTCATAGTGTTTTTTTTTCTTTTTTATAAACACAAATACTAGTCTAATATTACACTCGCAAAAAAACAAAAATTACTTGTGTATTTTATTTACTACAATAAATAACCTCCAAAGTATGTGTGTAGATTTGCATGAACTTCACGTGAATCATGTCTGTGTTGTATATACACACGATCACCTTTCACTAACTCCATGATCCAGATATTAGTACTAGATTCCCAGGTACCCTTGCTTGTTGATCCGTTAGCAAATTAAGTATCGTTCCTCATTACTTGATAATATACATCTGAGTTCATAACACCCGAAATCACACAACTAATTTGGTAGATACCTTTCTCCGATGCTGTAAAAACTCCTGTATTTGGGTTATACCCGTTTCCAATGTTTGTTCTAACATCGTCAAACTTGTATATCATTGATCCAGAATATTTTGTATGACTTTTCAGGAAGGCAAAAAATACTGGTCTCACTTTTGGAACTTTAAAAACAGAAACTAGCCCAGTAAGCATGTTTAAATACAATAATTAAATCTAAATGCAAATAATTGTTCATAAAATGATAGTTTGGTTAATGGAAATCTTCGTGTGTACCCCTTGTTATTGGAACCTCTAAGGAGTATTCATTTTTTCTTTTCTTAATTACTTTTTAGTGTGGTCGATATTCTACATAATTATGCAATGTAGCTTATTTATACATGTAAGGAATACATGAACTTCCTTTATCATTTTTCGATGTTTTTAGTCAATCAAAAAATTATTAAAAATCCAGGACTACCATCATGTGTTCCACTGCAACGAATCTTTATTTCAAATAGCGATTTATACATATGTTTTCAAACCTTTAGCGAGCTGGGTACCACAATGTTCGTGACACCTTAAATTTCTTATACTTACATAAAATTTTACACTGACGGTGTGCATTTTTAATATATTACACTTCGATGAATAATATGGTTGTTATATAATACCACAATTCTTGTGATGATGACCTGACATGACGAAGAATTTAGTAATCTGACTACTTTCAGGTTTATTCACCAAAATAACTAGCAGGGACAGACTTAAATAAATCCAGTTGATCATAAGACAATGTGTTAAATAGGATATAGAACATATCTGTTTCTGTTAAAGGACAACGTACGCAAATTTCATTTATATGCCCAGCAATCCGAATTACCCACTGAAAACTGCTTGATCAGGACCCTCTATAAATGAAAATTGTATTTTTTCTTTTTTCACTTTCATTAGAAAGAAAGGAACATAAACAAAATCATTCGTCTTGTTTCTGGTGACCTTACAGTAAGTTTTATTACAGTGTTAAGCAATTCGTGGTGCAAATGATTTAAACTTCGCGGATATTGATTGAGCTCAAATTTAGAACACAAACAAAAAAAGGGAACGTAAGCACTGATTTATAAATCTATAGAACGGCTTTTGTATGTAGCATTAAAATACACTCTAAAGAATGAACATAGCCTGAAAAACATCACAGGAATGTTTCTTTCTGAACGTCTGGTAAATTCCTGCTTTACAGATTGCCTTACATGACCATAGCTTAATATTATAACAAACCGGACTAGGCTCATTCAGATTTAAAATTCGAGATGGTTTAAACGAAATATCTAAATGTACCTTGGATTTTGTGGTCTTTTATATTAATTAACATCTCAAGCAGATCTTCAGTTATACATGTTGTCTTTCCTGAAATATTTACAATATGACTTGACTTAAAAAAAAAATAATGTCGAAGATTGAATTTGTTTAAAAAAACAAACACATTTTGAATTTGTATAGATACACAGTCATATCGGGTCTAATTGAGAACATAAACTTTTAGACAAGTGTCTTGAGTAACCCAACCTATCTGCATGTCTAAGAATGGGGGTACTAAATCCATTTGGCTACATGGAATGTTAAAATAAGTTGTACCAGTCGTTCTGATTCATGACTTTTACTACAAGACATATGCCGGAAAAAATGTCATGCGCAATTCAGTCAAAGAACATCATAACTATAATCTTGCATCAGTGTTTTGATGGCTTTTTAAGGCTGGACAGTAAAGATTTTCCGTCTAACGTGTTTGGTTTTGATTTTGCCGCAAAAGGGAAGAACTAAATTGGAACTGAAAATGATATCTCAATACAAGGAGAGCTTTTTTGAGTTATCGGTCGTTCGATCCGTTATTTTCATTTACAATGTGTATGTGCGTAGCAAGGACTTTAACAGTCATTTGTTGATTGACTCCTCCAAAATTCCAAGAAAATAGTCGATTTTTTAAAAATATAACTACGACGTTTAAAATATTTATCATAGTGAATCATAAATATTTAATATCTGATTTACCTATAAAGCAGTTTAAAGTAAATGTACATTGTAAGTATTTGCGTCATTTCCTTCAAGTTTTGTTCATTGTTTCACTTTGGCAAAGGTTTTTAAAGTTATTTCTAAAGATGTATTAAAAAGTAAAATAACAAAAATACCGAAATCAAAGGAAAATTCAAATCGAAAAGTCCCTTATCAAATGGCAAAATCAAAAGTTCAAACTCAAAAGTCCTTTGGATAACATTTTATGTAGAGAAATGTTGTAAAAATTAACAATGTTTATCAGTTATAAATGTGCCAGCCGAATTACATTTAAAATTGCGCTTGTATTTACGGATCTCCGGACGGTTTCCAAAGCTCTACCTGAGCTTTTTTTGCAATTGTCTAGTAAATATCGACTTTAAATAAAGCTTTCAATAAAATTGAGAATGGAAATGGGGAATGTGTCAAAGAGACAACAACCCGACTAAAGAGCAGACAACAGCCGAAGGCCACCAATGGGTCTTCAATGCAGCGAGAAACTCCCGCACCCGGAGGCGTCCTTCAGCTGGTCCCTAAACAAATATGTATACTAGTTCAGTGATAATGGACGTCATACTAAACTCAAAATTATACACAAGAAATTAAAATTAAAAATGATACAAGACTAACAAAGGCCAGAGGCTCCTGACTTGGGACAGGCGCAAAAATGCGGCGGGGTTAAACATGTTTTTTGAGATATAAGGTCTTGATACTTGTTTGTAACTTAAAATCTTATAAATAATATTAGTAGTACTGTTGTATTATGTAAAGTAATGTAGATGATTAAGTCAAACATATATCAAAATTTAAGTAAAATTAATTACTAACCTTTGGCGGCTTCACATTGTGTCTCCGCCATTGTATTGTTTCCACAAATAAGGAGCAAGACCAGCGCTACAATGGTGCAAAACATTTTAACGTATAGTCACGTAGGCTGGTGTTCGTGTAGCTTCTGTAAAGTTTCGCTACGTTTCCTAGCTCTGGTTCTAGTTGTATGTTTCAAGCAAAACAATTTTAAATAGAAATTTGATACATTTAATAACCATATAACACGCTATCCTAAATTTCAGGTTTTCCTAGAATCAGATGCTGAATCCGATATTTTTGCGCACTTTGGTATAAAAATATTTCGATTAAGGGGATTATATGAATGAAATGAATGTGGGGTAAATGCGAATAGACAGCAACCTTACAAAACAACGCCATTATACTAGTAGTATAGTGCTTTTTACATCGCGATGACCTTGAGGTCATTCCGATGTATTGCTATCGCCTAGATTTCCATTATGTAAATTAGTTTTGGGTTTCTAACCGATCTATAAACATGATAAATATGCGCACATAAATGAGTGCAAAATAACATTCCCTATCGTTTGATATAAATACATCTCTTCAATGAATACTGATAAAAATATTTTTGTTTACAACATAAATTAATAATATGAAAATGTTTTGTAGTTAGATATATATATATATATATATAAGTAAAAAAATCATTGATAATATCAATGCACACGTACCGAAAAATTGTGTTTAAGCATGCGGAAGAATATCTCAAAGAACGTTTTGCGACAATACCGGCAAGGACCGGTAACTCTGAAATTGTTTTTGTGGGAAAATATGAATGCCTACTCGTATCCAATTTTAGAAAAATCGAATTTTTACAGAAAAGTGTCCACCATGCACTTGCATTGCACTATTATTAGAATAGTAGAATAGAATGATATACAAATGGATGCAAATCATATATATATGTAACTGTTATTTTAATATAATATATAACAACAAATCAGTGTATACTGACTACAATATAATAGTTATTACGGTGAAGTTGAATTTCCTGTCATTTATTCATCATTCACGCACGAACTTGTCTCAGAAAAAAATATATCTTTGTACATTAACCTCAGTTTCAGGTAAAGAGATATGTTGTTTTTTTCTGAGACAAGTGCTTTTGACCATCCTCAAGAACTTGTGGTCATCCGATGTTCAGTACTTCAGTACTTTGATTCTCGCCTGCCAATCACCTCCTACAAGCTGTAGTCTAGATCCTGATTACCAAATACGTTCAATTTTGGTCATAGATATTTGATCGTTATTGGCGAAGATATCTATCTTTTAACATTTTGGTACAAAATGATTAAAAATAAACAAATGAAGAACTATATATATATATATGTATGGGTACGTTGTTGTATAATCCCCACAGGCTATATTACAACGGTGAAGGAGAACGTAATTAGTCCCAATTGCGGCTATACTGTGTGTTTTAAAGCATTTGGTTGACTTTGCTGTAACTATGCTGTTTCTGTTTCTGTCGGGTAATAACCTCCTTCAACAAATTGAAGATTCTGCTATATAAGATTTTTTTGTTTTCTGACAAGTTCCGTTTGCAGGAGAAGACCTCATGTAAGTTACCTTTGTGCTTTGGTCCAATGGAAATAACTATATAAAAATAAGAAGATGTGGTATGATTGCAAATGAGACTACTCTCCACAAGAAACCAACTGACACAGAAATCAACAACTATAGGTCACCGTACGGCCTTCAACAATGAGCAAAGCCCACACCGCATAGTCATCTACAAAAGGCCCAAAATGACAAATGTAAAACAATTCAATCGAGAAAACTAACGGCCTAATTTCTGTACAACATAATGAATAAAAGACAATTATGTTACACAGCAACAAACGACAACTACTAAATTACAGGCTCCTGACTTTGGACAGGCACATAAAGAATGTGGCGGGATTAAACTCGTTTGAAGGCGCCAACCCTCCCCTAACCTGGGACAGTGGTGTAACAGTACAACATAAGAACAAACTATAAAATCAGTTGAAAAAGGCTTAACTCATAAGATGGATATAAATAGAAATACATCTAACAAAAACACAGAGTGACTTGGTATGCTTTAGAATGTATATTTCTCCCTTGACGCACTGGTGGTGTATGTCGCTCTCTTTAAACATTGCTACCATATTATTCTCTATTTTATAGAACTTCATTTGTAGGTGATATACCATTTCTGTGATATAAGCAATTGTTTTGTACTTATTTGTCACGTATCTGGCAGCTCTTCTTTGTATCTGTTCTATTTTGTAGATAGATTCTTTTGTGGCTGGGTCCTTAACCGTTGAGGCATATTGAGGTATATTCTAGCTGTGATCTTACTAGTCCAATGTAAGTTTAGCTCTTTTACTTTTGTTGATGAAATTCTGATGTTTCTCCGCAAAAATCCGAGTATTTTATTTGCTTTGTCCGTTATCTGCTATATGTGTTGATCCCATTTCAGGTTGTTTTGAACTGTGAGACCTAAGTATTTGGCCGCTGTACTTCTTCCAAATTGTAACCATGGAGATGACATGATGTTTTAATTGGTGTATTCTTGTTTGTTACACTCAAGATGTTGCATTTGTCAGGGTGAAGTTTCATGCACCATCTTGCTAGTTTGCTTAGGTCTTCTTGTAATATTTTTCAACAGTTTTTTGATGATATTGTCTGGTAGGCGATGGTGTCATCTGCAAACAGTTAAGTCTTCTTGCAAGTCATTGATGTAATATAGAAGGACTGAGCCCTGTGGTACTCCTGAATCTACAGGGACTGATGCTGAATTGCATCCTTCTAATACGAGTTTGTGTTCTTCCACTCAGCCAATTCTTCATTCACGTATTTGTGTTGCCTCTAATTCCGTAAGCTTGTAACTTGTTCACCAATAAGCTATGGTTTACCCTACCAAAGGCCTTGGTAAAGTCCATTATCGGTACATCTGTTTGTTGTCCCATGTTCATGTTGTTAGATAAGATCATCAATGAATTCTATGAGTTGAGTTTCATAAGGACTGCCTTTCCTGAAGCCATGTTATAACTTGTAAAGAATGTTGTGTTTTCACCATGGGTCATAATTGATGATATTATATGATCCATGACTTTACAGCATATTGACGTCAAGGAGATGGGCCTTTAGTTTGCTCCATTATACTTTTGACCATTCTTGAAGATCGGAGATACATTTGCTGAACGCCAGTCGTTTGGAACAACTCCAGTTTCTAAGGATTTTTCGAACAGTAACCGTAGAAGAGGTGCTGTCGCACTGTGTAATATTTTGAGGATTCTTGGTGATATTCCATCCGGCCCCGGTGATTTGTTTGGGTTCAGGTTTTGTTAGCAGTTGGTCTATGCCTTCTGTAGTTATGGTTATGTTTTTTCATAGTTGGCATCGTATTGCATTCGCTTAGAGGATATTAATTGATCACGTGTGAATATACTTCTTTCAGAGAATGCAGACTTAAATTATGCATTAAGGATGTTTGCCTTGTCAGCTGGTTCAGTGAGCATTTTGCCTTCCTTCATAAGTGATGTTATACCAATTATTTCTTTTCTTTTACCCCCCAAGGGTGACTGGGGAATAGAAGTATGGTCACCATTGGTCTTCCTCCGACCGGCAGTAAAACCCGTGCTAAAGTGGGGCGTCCGTTTGGCTGTGCGGGATGTACAAATTTGCAGCCACGTCCGGTCAGAATGGGGACGTTAAATCCGATGCCTCGTGTAAAGAGAGTGCCACGCTCTTTGCACGTTAAGAACCCTTGTAACAACTCTTTGAGGGGTCCGTAGGTGACCTGTTGGAAGGCTAAATTTCTGTCCCTATCCAATATACCCTCATTTCCCGTGGCAGTCTAAATTTCTCCGACCTTAACCCCTTAATCTATTACAGAACCTACCTATTGTATTTATTGTGAACTTGTTCTCGTCCTGAATATGCATGAAATATTTGCCACTGGACGTTAACCAACAAACAATCAATCAATCTTTTCTTTTATGTTTGACTAAAGTCCAGAATTTCTTTGATCCCTTAAACGTATTTTCATCGTTTTGAGGAGTAATGATATATTCAATGTCGTGACAGTATGCATTTCGTTGTTTTCTTTGCACCCCTTTCTTTAAGGTTTTATATTCTGCCTTTACTTTAGGATCCTGGGTTTTCTTCATTCTTTTGTAGAGTCGTTGTTGCCTTTTAGTGAGCTTTCAGTTTAGTTTTTACTTTTATTCATGGTTGTTTTTTTTTCTTGTTTCGTGTGGTATATGACCTTTTATTCCTTTGTGTAGAGCAGTCTTTATTCTTACACAGATATCGTTTGCATTTTAGATTTTAGATCTATATATTTGACTCATCTGTTTATAGAGTGCTGTAAGGTCGTCTTTGAAACCTTCCCAGTTTGCTCTCTTATATTGTGGTATGAGTCTTTCTTGTTCCTTAAATTTGATTGTATTCATGTCAAACTCTGAAAAAACGATATCTGGATCTGATATTCCCAGGAGGACATCTACGGGTTCTGAGTACAAGTCAAATCGGCACCTTTAGAAAAAGTCAAATCGGCATCTGGTCAAATCGGCACCTCAATTCGGCATTCACTTGGTCAATTCGGCATCCAATAATATATATTTGATATAATATAGAAGATAAATGTCACGTGATATATGTCAGTGTTGATTTTGTGACAGCTCTGAAAAACAGTTTGATTTTGTGTTTGCAAGGATTACTTTATCTCGATTGAAGTGTGGTTATCAAAACCCAAAGTTTATAATTGACATTTTGCGACATTTTCCGTGATTAGAAGTGAAATTTCAGGACGATATGGCTCGTTTTCTTCAATATCCTTTGTCTGACGGGAATGGCGCCAATCAGCTGGTCAACGATCAAATGTTTTATAGTCAGACAGCGACTGTAAGTAATGATTATATTCAACAACCATTTAGAAAAAAAAAACAATTATCATGGAGCATGTCGAGACACCAACCACAACAACAAAGACTCGGAAAAGGTCATCGAAACTTCACAGCCAGGGCTGACAGAAACAAACGCCACCTTGAAGCATTCATAGCTAGGAAATCCAAGCCATCGATCAATGAGATAGGAAATTCTGCTCACAAAGAAGACCTAGAAAATGCCCCCAACGCCGATAAAAACAACAACACCGGTGAGCTGGTAGA